CTCCTCCTCCTCCTCCTCCTCCTCCTCCTCCTCCGCCTCCTCCTCCTCCTCCCCCGCCTGGCTCAAATCCTGATCACACCGCTGGAGGTGCAGGACGACAGCACTGCCGCCCAGGGAAGGCCCTGGGCGCTGGGGCTCGAGCAGCCCCCATCGCGGCCTTTTCGGCACCACGATCACGAAGCCTGCTTTCGCTACCTTGTGCGCTCGCATCGCCTGGTCCGCCCCAGTCACAGTTAGCCACGCGGCGTGATGGCGTTCCTGTGTGGCGCCCTACTGAGTGCGGCCCAAACGTCGTCGCGCAGCGCCTGCCGCCGCGCCAGAGCTCGCGCAACCCATGCGCGCAAGCTCCAGGAGGCCAACGGCCGACTGGCTGGCCTTCTTGCGGCAGGCCCCCCACCTGGACTCGTGACGCAGCTGCCCATCGCGTCGGGCATGCTGTACCACGAACTCGAGGAGAATTTCTGGACGCCCACTGCCATGCTGGTCTCTGACATGGAGGCCAACGAGCTGGTCACCTACGGCGAGGGCCTCACGAACAAGCTGCTGCGGATCCTTTCGCCGCAGCGCGTGGAAGACACGGAGCAGTATGCCGCCGCCGTGCCTGGAGTCATCGATGTCTCGAACGCCGAGCATATCGAGAAGGCCGTGGCCGAGAAGCCGCACGACGGCTTCGACATCCAGGCTGTGGACCCAGAGCATCCACAGGGCACGGAGCCCTTCGATGTGGAGGGAGACGACGGCGATGACATCAAGAAGTCTGCGGACGAGCAGGTGATGCACTTCGCCGCGGAGCGGGCTGCGGAGCCGCCCAACCAGGAGGCGATTGCGTCGGAAGCGACCCACGAGGGCCCTGTGCAGATCGAGCAGGCTGTGCTGGAGAAGCTGCACGACGGCTTCAGCAGCCAGGCGGAGGTCCAGGAGCAGTTCCTGGGCACGGAGCCTTTCGATGAGGCGGCCCCATCACAACGACGCCATAGAGGTCAATTCCGAGGTGGTCCAGGAGCAATTCGACACCACTAGCTGGAAGTACCGCGCTGGAGAAAACCGGCTGTCCTTCGGCAATCAGAGCGCGGAGATAGAGAAAGCATGTGTTCAGTTCGTTGAAGGAGAAGGCGACCGACATTACAACACGAAGATTGATAGTTGCACGCCTGTCCGACTAGACTTTGTCTGTTTCTGATGAAGCCACGCTATACAAATGAGATCGGAGGTGAGGGGGTGAGACCGAAGTGGAACGGAGAGCCCCCCTACCGGGAAATCGGTTTCGGTTTCGTGTTCGTGCGTGCCGTGCGTGCGGGTGAGGCGAAGCTGCGTGGGCGGGCGAGAAATAAGTCTCCTGTAGCTGAGGCGCGGCCGGAGCAAAAGAACCTTGACCGGGCGGCCGGTGCCCCGCGGTGTCCCGCCGGTGTCCCGCTCGGGGGCCGGTGGCGCGCGGTGTCCCGCTGGTGTCCCGCCAGTGTCCCGTCGGTGTCCCGATGATGATGATGATCATGATGATGTTGATGATGTTGATGATGATGATGGTGGTGATGGTGGTGATGATGATGGTGTCCCGATGATGATGACGATGATGCTGATGATGCTGATGATGATGATGTTGACGATGTTGTTGATGATGATGATGACGATGATGATGGTGATGGTGGTGGTGATGATGGTGTCCCGATGATGCTGTTGATGATGATAATGTTGCTGATGCTGATGATGGTGCCCCGATGATGATGATGATGATGATGATGATGATGATGATAATCCTGATGATGTTGATGATGATCAGATGATTTGATGAGGATGATGAAGATGATGATGATGATGATGATGATGATGATGATGATGATGATGATGATGATGATGATGGTGTCCCGATTGTGATGATGATGAGGTTGATAATGATGATGTTGATGATGATGGTGATGATGATGGTGTCCCGATGATGATGATGACGATGATGGTGTCCCGATGATGATGTTGATGATGAGGATGATGATGAGGTGATGCTGATGGTTTTGATGAAAGTGGCCCAATGATGGTGATGATGCTGATGTTGATGATGATGGTGTCCCGATGATGCTGATGATGATGATGATGATAATGATGATGATGATGGTGACGATGATGATGGTGGTCCCATGATGATGATGTTGATGATGATGTTGCTAATGATGATGATGGTGTCCCGATGATGATGATGATGATGATGATGATGATGATGATGATGATGGTGATGATGATGATGAGGATAATGGTGATGTTGTTGTTGATGTTGTTCATGATCATGATGATGAGATGGATGGTGGTGTTCCGATGCTGATGATGGTGCCCCGATAATTATGATGCTGATGCTGATGATGGTGACGATGATGGTGTCCCGATGATGATGATGGTGATGCTGATGTTGATGATGATGGTGATGAGGTGATGATGATGATGATGATGATGGTGTCTCGATGCTGCTGCTGCTGATGATGATGATGTTGATGACGTTGATGACGATTATGTT